TGTGTGTGTACATGTGTGTGTGTAATGTGTGTACATGTGTACATGTGTACATGTGTACATGTGTGAGTGTGTGAATGTGTGAGTGTGTGAGTGTGTGAGTGTGTGTGTGTGAGTGTGTGAGTGAGTGTGTGTGAGTGTGTGATTGCGTGTGTGAATTGGTGAGTGTGCGTATGAATTGGTGAATGTGTATGTGAATTGGTGAGTGTGTATGTGAATTGGTGTGTGTGTGAGTGTGTGGGTGTGTGTGTGAGTGTGTGAATGTGTGTGTGTGAATGTGTGAGTGTGTGAATGTGTGAGTGTGTGAGTGTGTGAGTGTGTGAGTGTGTGAGTGTGTGAGTGTGTGAGTGTGTGAGTGTGTGTGTGTGAGTGTGTGTGAGTGTGTGTGTGTGAAGTGTGTGAGTGTGCATGTGAATTGGTGTGTGTGTGTGTGTGTGTGTGTGTGTGTGTGTGTGTGTGTGTGTGTGTGTGTGTGTGTGTGTGTGTGTGTGTGTGTGTGTGTGTGTGTGTGTGTGTGTGTACATGTGTGAATGTGTGAGTGAATGCATGGTTGGGTGGGCTGGCGCGTGTGTGTGCACACAAGCAAGCAAGTGCATGTGTATGTGCATGTGCGTGTGCATGTGACTGTGAATGTGTGAGTGTGAGTGTGTGTGTGTGTGTGTGTGTGTGTGTAGATGCGTGAATGTGTGAGAGAATGCATGGGTGGATGGGAGGGTGGGTTGGTGTGTGCTTGTGTATGTGCGCGTACGAGCAAGCAAGCGAGTGTGCATGTGCATGTGCGTATGCATGTGCTCGTGCAAGCAAGCAAGCGAGTGTGCATATGCATGTGCGTGTTCATGTGTGTGTGCGTGTGCATGTGCGTGTGAGAGTGCATGTGTGTGTGTGTGTGAGTGTGAGAGAGCTGTTTTCTGCCAATTGGTTTTAAAAAATCTTCAAAATTTAAATTGTATTTGTAAAACTTCTGAAGTTAGCTTTTAATCGTTCCTCTAAACTGATATTGCACTTAATGAAATCCATAAAAACTTTCATATCTCCTTTCAAAGACTTGCTCATTTACTTAAAACACAACAAGAACTGATTATTTTCTACAAATCAACTCATTACCATTATATATAAATTTCAACATCTCAAACAATTTCATAGCTTTTAAAAATTCATCTAATAATTTCATAATCACAATTCCCACTTCATAGAACAAATTAACAATTTTAGAATTCATTGTCAATTCTTTTTTTTAATGTTACAAGCTCTATTTCTTCAAGCTATCTAAGGAGATTCTTTAGTTTTGGCAATCAATTGCGACTTCACCACTTTTGTGTTGGGACTACAGATTGTGAGCCATTCATCACAGATCAGTGTTTTCAGAGGAATTGGATCCTGCACAGCTAACAAAATTACAAGGAATTGGTTTTGAAAGCCGCTGTGGGTCTTGCAACCATAAACACGTTTAATTCATTCATAAATAAATAAAAAGAATAAAGCTAGCTAGGAGCACCATGTGAAGATACACAAAACCTAAAATACTGCTCTCAAAGACCACACACAACAACAATCCCAGCAACAGAAAACAATAGGTAGAAACTGCAGGTAAGCCCACAATCATATATCACAGATATACCTCCCGGGACTCACAGTGGCCTTCAGCACTCAGGGAAAATGACAATAAACCTCCAACACATATGGTGAGACACGTACTTGTAGACCACCATGACCATTTACCATTAAAGAAGGAATAAGTCAAGCGGCCACTGCATCCACCACTGGCCTGGTGACAATCAGCAAATAAAAAAGTAAAAAAATATGGTATATTTTCCAGTAAAAATTATCCTGTAAGCCTACATTGTGATTTTTCATAATCTATGGAGCCAAATCTCTTTCTTACCAGGTTTTTACAATATCAGAAGATAAATAACTTGAAGTGTTTGAAAATAAAAAAAATTAAAAATATATGTGGCAGTGTTTTATTTTTCGTATGAAAGCGTTTGTTAGTCTTTGCTTGAGCACCAAAAGTGTGTCGGCTACACACATCTTTTTGTTTTCAATATGTAACAACCATGCCACAGAAGAAAAATTCTCTTTGAATTGCTCAATCTGTTCATTCCACACATTGCTTTCTTATACCAGATGTTCGGTATATGCAAAACTGCAACACAAGTGGCTTCTTTTGATTGCTGCTATCCTTTCTTTTATTGATTACCACATTTTAGAATTTTACTTGGTTTATCAACTAAAAAGTTCATCAGCACACTTCCATCCTTGCCAAAGCCACATCTTTACCATTCGCCTTTTTTTTTTTTTTTTTTTTTTTTTTATCTATCAGAGCACTTAATCACTTTCTTTTAATCAGTCAACATGTCACATTCAAGTTTACACTGTCTAATTATCAAAATGTTCAAGTTCTAAGCTTTTATCACAAGCTCGTACCAAAGGCAAAACTGCCCTCTATCGAGAACAGAACAGCAACAAACGGAAATTGGAAAACACGCCGAAAATATACCTAAGCAAATTTTACACATCATACAAAACATACAAATAACCAAAATAATTAATCAATCAATAAAAAGATCTCAACACATATTCAAGTCACACCAATCACCGTTTTCTGATCAACATTTTCAAAAGAACACGTTTTTTTTCTGAGCTAAAAAAAAAAAAATCACATGCTTTTCAAAGAAATATGTAACTCTTTCTGTTTTTCTTTTTGTTGTCTTTTTCTTTCTTTTCTTCCTCTTCTCTTCCAAAGACAGAGCCAGCAGATAAGACACAGTCTATTCTCTAACACATCTCATACATTTTTCTCTCTCTCTTTTATTTTCTTACGTCTCTTTTCTTTTGTCTTTTCCTTTTCAGTTGTTTTGTAAAACTAGTGATAAAGCAAAAAGAAATAAATCCATAACAAGGAACACGATAAACGTAACAACAAAAAGGTGTGATAATAAGAGAAGCAAAATAAATACACCACAAAATTTCAAAATAAATATATAACTATCATAATAACAAGACAATAAACCCAAAATCACAACAACTACAACCTCACAAACACATTACTACGGTAAAATCAAAATAAATACAATAAATTAGTAAATAAACAAAAATATATACATAAAAATACGGCTTGGACGCCAGTTAACTAAATTTCAAATTATAGTAAAACATAAATATAATCACAATCACATGTCAAACACAACCACAGTGCACTTCCCTCCATTTTTGAAAAATACAAGAAAATACAATATTCATTACAGGAGTACACTAATTACCATTATGATAATACAATTATGCACGAAGACAATAACCAAAACAAAAACGATAATTACCTACACAAAATAAGACAACAAATGCCGGAATGATGCAATAATCGCCGTCACAAGAATACAAAACACGATAAGTACAATAAGCGAAATAATACAACACGAAAATACAACGTCTTCAACGCCAGATTTTCACTTGTTGCTTCTTCAAGAAAAAAACACGTTCTCGACTCACTCTCCACGCATTTTTCCTATTCTTTTCTTTATCACTTCATCCCTATTACCTTTCCCTGGCCTCTAACCGCCCATATTTTATCCGCAGAGGCTTAAAAGGTGCTTAAATAAGGCGAAATAAGGCCATCGAGGAGTTACTTCGGGGATTCCTCGGGTGCACTGGGAGGCAACGCCATCTCGCGGCCGCTCCGGGAACTACGCTTTCAATATGGGAGGAGGGGATTTTTCTTGCGGATTTCTTGCGCTTGTCTTATGCTCTTTCGTTGGTGAATTATCGTTTCCCTCTATGCCTGTGTTCTTTTGTTTGTCTTTTAACGCTTTGTTTCGCGTGTATCTATTATTCCTTTTCGCCCCTCGGGACTCCACGCTACCTTGTAAGGGAAGCGGATTTTTCTTATGGATTTCTTCGGCCTTGCTACTTGCCGATTGACTGACTTTCTGCTATTGTTCCCATTATTATCGCTATTTTCATCATGTATTGTCTTTATTTGTGTTTTCTCTCCTTCGAGAAATAGGGGATTCGTCTTGTGGATTTCTTGGGTACTTTTAGAGGGGATTAATTGCTTATTTGTTGTAGTTTGTATTATTTTTGCATTTCTCTTTATTATCTTTTGCTTCGATTGTGTATTATTTTCTAATGTTTTTTCTTATTATCATTATCATTATCACTATCATTGTTATTACTATTATTATTATTATTATTATTATTATTATTATTATTATTATTATTATTATTATTATTATTATTATTAATTATTATTTATTATTATATTATTATTATTATATTTATTATTATTATTACTATTATTATCCTTATAATAATTGTAATCATTATCATTATCATATCATTATTATTGCTATTATTATTATCATTATCATCATTATCATTATCATTGTCAATATCATTATCATCATCAGTATCACTATCAATGATATTATTATTATTATCAGTATCAATGAATTTTTTGTGATTATTATTTTTATTAACACTATTATCATCATTATTATTATCAATGTTATTATCATTATTATTACTGTTGTTGTTGTTTGTTGTTGTTATTATTATTATTATCATCATCATTGTTACTCTCATTATCATTATTATGATCATTATTACTACTATCATCATTATTATGATCATTATTACTACTATCATCATTATTATGATCATTATTACTACTATCATCATTATTATGATCATTATTACTATTATCATCATTATTATTGTTATTATTGTTGTTGTTGTTGTTATTATTATCAATATCATTATCATTATTATCATTATCATTATTATTATTATCATTATTGTCATTATTATTATCACTGTTATTGTTATTATCATTATCAATATTATTAATATTATTATTGTTATTATTATTATTATTACTATTATTATTGTTGTTGTTGTTATTATTACTATATTATTATTGTCATTATTGTTGTTATTATATATCATTATCATTATTGTCATTATCATTATCATCATTATCATTATCGTCATTATTATCATCAGTGTTA